AATCTAACACCGCAGCCAATACAACTGAGATTGTGGACCTCTTTCCTTAGAGGGTCAGACAGCCACCATGGCCCCTTTTTAATAATGCATGTAAATGTTAGGTGTGCTATATATTTATAGGTGTCTGCGTTTTTAAAAAATGGGGTTGGTCCTTTTAGAAGGTCATCGTGTCCCATTTAAGAGTGTAAAGCCTGTATTTAAGTTTCCATCATCCCCGAAAAACGTCTAGAGCAGCTAATAAAGAAAACCTAAAGGAGGAATACACCCAAACACATTTTAAAATAGTTGGTGGTAGATTTCCTTTTTTTCAATTAGACTCAATTAGATCAATAGGAGCTTGTTCCAGGTCCAAACAATACTTGCAATTATAAGTTTCCACAAATTGAAAAGTTACTTTACTATACAGTACAACATGCCACAAACATAAAATGATTACAAATAGTCAAATATGGGGAAACAGAAGTGGTCCTAAAACAGAGCCCTGAGGACCTTCTTCACTGGAAATTAAAAATGAATCAACATGACTTATTTAGGATGTTTGGACTTCAGCGTTAGGTTAAACCAACAGAATAAAACCAACAGAATAAAATACATTAATAAATTGATATGTTAAAAAGCTGAGGTAAATGTAGCGTGTAAACTAATTACTTGGGGAAACAATCCGGTCTTAAGCGTTGTCTCTGAACTTCCTTTTTTTTGTATTAGTTGGCTAATGTGACTGTAAACAATATGAAGCACACCATTGGTCCGGATATGTGCTGGCTACACCGGAACCCCAGAAATATTGTCCCTTGCCCAAGAGGTTCAGACCCAAGCCAATGAGTTTGGTGCTAAACTAGCACAGCTTTACACACACAAAAACTAGGAAGTACTATGTGTGCATGAATCACATTTAGCTACACCGCTAGCACCAAAATGGCTTAGAGTCATGCTCTTATTGCTTTATAGGTGCGTTGACAAATGGGTTGCCTCAATCACCATGGGCGTGTTAATCTCAAATGTACTAACTATGTATATTATCAACATCCCAGCTGGTGCATTTGATACAGCAATAACAGTAGTTGTAGCACATTGTCTATTTATAATAAGCCATTGGCCACAGATGTTTTAATGGCTTTTTAATGGCCTCCAAGGCTGCGATGTGGCAATGAGACACTCAGCGAACACTTAGAGAATAGAGCCAAGAGGTGTGTGTGTGTGTTGTGTGTGTGTGTGTGTGTGTGTGTGTGTGTGTGTGTGTGTGTGTGTGTGTGTGTGTGTGTGTGTGTGTGTGTGTGTGTGTGTGTGTGTGTGTGTGTGTGTGTGTGTGTGTGTGTGTGTGTGTGTGTGTGTGTGTGTGTGTGTGTGTGTGTGTGTGTGTGTGTGTGTGTGTGTGTGTGTGTGTGTGTGTGTGTGTGTGTGTGTGTGTGTGTGTGTGTGTGTGCAGCACTGTTTGAGCAAACGCCTCTGGCCCTTTCACAAAGAGGAAAGCACCTGTCGCATGAGTCAATATGGAGAATGGACAGGTGTGGGATTGTGTTTGTGAGTGGCCAATATAGTGCCAAATTGATGAAAGGGCCAATTAAGATGCTACATTGGTATTTAGTTTTAACTGTACATTTGAAAATACTCCATGAACCTAATTTAAATATCGTGAAATATGTAAATGAGAAGTGGTGAGAATGGTTTAGCACAGTAGGGAAACTAGTTGTAAGCTATTTGTGTTGGCCAAGCCTTGGTGACTCAACCTATCTAATCTGGGGTCTGCTGCAGCTATTTATTGACAACAGAAGAAAGGTATTTGTTCTATTCAGATGGAGAGGTAGTGTTGGCCCAGTCTTTGGATTTAATACCAGGCTATTCAGATCTGGAACTCTTCGTCTTCTGTACAGCAAGCGATGCAGGGTCATCAGATATTTTTGTTATGTCGTCATACTTGGTTTATACCTGGATCACAGTGGTCATAATTCAATGGAGTGGAACACTGAAGGGCAAACTCATTTAACTATAGTCACCCCTGCAGCCGTATACAAAAAATGTGTGCACACCCGGCACGAGTGTGGGGCAAATGTAAAGGTTGTGACCCTGAAATTCTTGTTTAGTTACTTCCTGTCATGCCCAATATTGGCACTTCCGTTCTTTACTGAGGACATCAGACTTTCAGGCCTGTTTGCCCCTGTTAGTGAGCAAGAGAAAAGAGCAAGGAAAGTGTTAAAGGAGGTGAGACTCACTCTGGAAACACTTCTGCTTGACCTGTGAGTCACTCCTGTGAAGTTTTTGTCTCCACTAAATCCTGTTGGAACACATTTATCAAAACAGTCAACAATGTTATAGTTTTCTTCTTGGTTAAAGAGAATTGTTTGAAAATAATTGCTCTAAAAGATAGTTTATGGTGATTTTTTTTTGTACACTTCAATGTGCAAACACTGGTAGTTTTTGGTTGATTTGGAAGAGCAACTGAAGTCGATGCCTTTGGGTCTGTTAGTTGGTTGATCAGTGGTAACATCCCCAACAACAGGCATCAAATTGAATCAGAAATGAATCAAAATATTTTCTTGTGATACAAGAATAACGGCGATACCGCACCAACATTTTAAGGTTCTTACCAAAAAGAAAACAATTTTGGTTTGCTCCTTTCTTACCTCAATGAGCCGTGACAAGTCATATAACAGTCTCCCCTGATTTGACCTTGGGAGGGGTTAACCAGCAGCTGGAAAAAATGTCTCCATGGCAGACTTTAGCTGTTTTTTGCCACAGAGCACTCAAAGATCATCTTTTATGAGCTAGGAAAAGGGAATTCGAAGACAGACATAATCAGATGGTGGAAAATGTTAACCAAGTTCTCTGAAAACTCTTGAAATGCTGTTAATAATCTGAATCAAAGTACTTGAAAGGTAAAACAATCTAGTTATTGAGGATGTAAACCATGCAGTGACAGGGTGACTGTGAGTGAGGGGATCCCCTCTAATGATCTCACCAGGCAGGGGTGCTGCAGTCAAACAAATGATAGTGGTAGATGTAGTTTATTTAAAGTGATGTTGCTTCACAGGCAGTTGGGAGGTGGTGGTGGTGGTGGGGTCCCTCCCCCGCTGCCGGGAACAGCCACAGATCATCCCAGAGTGCCAGCTCACCCCTTTCGGCAGCTTCAGTGGTACGGCCCCGCCTCACTCCAGTAAAGCACATGTTGGGTGATGAGAGGACATGAATCAAAGAGGACAGGGAGAGTAAGAGAAGAAGCTCAGAAGGAGAACGTTCAGTCACTGAGAGGCTACCGGACAGGAGAGTATGGACTAAAAAGTGTATTTTTTTCCGTAATGTAATTGCCAGAAAATCTGGAAATATTTCATCCTTTCTTGAGAGTTCCGAGGGTTGACCTAAAGCTCAGGTAAGAAGGAGGTTTCCATACTTTGATGTGATGTAATTAAGTCCCTTAATATATATATACAGTATATATATATATATTTTTTATAATTGAGATCCAGAATTTAATACATTTTTCCTGGCAAGAAAAAACATTTTGTCGCTCTTCAAAATAAACATTTTAATATTTGTATTCAAACTATATATTTTCGTCTCAAAATGTTGTCCATAAGACTTTGTATTACATTCTGGTTACACTAGATTAAACACGGCTCCAAATAAAATGTACATCCTGCCATTTCCTCTCATAATGTTAATTATTATGTCATCATTAAAAACAACCACAGGAACAAACTGTGTTTACAACTTCCTCGCCTGCCCTTTGGTTCTTGTTGCTACTCTGCCTATAAGTTGTTGTTGACATGGGTTTTGAAATAGCTGCGTCCCAAGCGATTAACCATCTGCTTGCGGGGGTCGCTGAAATTGGAATACCCTACATACAGTATGAGCCATCTGCGGTCATGTATATGTCTTGTTTCACTTTGCAAATGTAAACTAGATTTGGAAAGCGAGGATTGGTGTATTACTTTCCTTTGTAAGCATACGTTTTACCACAGAATGAGCTGTTGCATGTATGATTGTTGCGTTTTATTGGAGCAAGTATAGTGTTTAATATTTTCTAAGAGTTCCCTGGCCTATAATTAAAGTACACATTGTGTGTGAATTACAGTATTCTACCTTACCTCTATTTGTGTCACAAATGAGGCTTATATTTAAACTTGTTTTCAAAGCTTTTCCTACCTAACTTTTCAACACAGACCTTTAAATAACATGTGTGAGAAGAAATTACAAATTAGTTTCTACACATGTCAGATACTTTAAAAAGATGGTGATTTCCCTCAATATATTTGTTTTACTGTTGCCAGGAAGGAGCGATAACTTTCCAAAAGTATTTTACTTTTCTTTCAGACTAAGAATGTGACTTTTGAGAGATCACATGGCACACAGTGTTACTGTTGAAGCTTAAAAACGGTCTAAAAGTATGCCAATGTCTTTAGACCGATTTTAGTTGTTACTTTGATTGTGCAACGTGTAAGCAATAAGCATTAAATTGCCAACATGATTCAGCAGCCAGAAATCAACTTGAAGACAGCTCATCCTCCTTCAGTACAGCTCTGGGCTTTCAAACTGGCATTGCTGTTCTTCTGTTTGGCTCGCAAAGACCAGCTGTTTGAGTGTGTTGGACAGGAGTCGCCCCGGTTCACGTCAGACCATGCGGGCCTGCACTGACGCAACGTGACAGTCGCTTGGGCGCTGCAAATTTGCTATTAATAGAGCCGGAGGGGCTGTGTTGCTGGTGGCCGGGCTACATGCTGAACCTGAGAGGCAAAAAAGATGGGTGAAGAGGGGGGTCACTGTGCTTCTGGTGTGAGTTATACAGGTCCATGCTAATGTGATAGGTCGGAGCCAATGAAACCTATTTGTGTGGGAAGACAAGATGATTGAAATCACCTCAAGCAGGTTTTGTTTTCACCAGAATCATCTTGCAGTTCAAAAAAGACAAACGGTATCCCTTTTTTCTACTTTTCAATGATGTGTATGGTTGGACCTGCATAAAAACATGGAACTTCTTTAATGACTTTAGTATACGTCTTTTTCAGATGTTGTTCACACCCAAGGTCCACTTGATGGAAGTCTATATGCCCGGGTCCGCAAGAAAGACTCCCTGGAGGGAGTTGTCACCATCAATGGCCTCCCAGTCCATGAAAACCCCTTGACCAATGTTGAGAACCCATTACAAAACCCCAGCCATCCTCTCCAAACCACTGACCAAACCATACCTGTGACAGGCCATGCCTCCCTTCCCGCTGTTGATCACACCCTCTCTGTGAGCAGCGACTCAGGCAACTCTACCGCCTCCATCAAGACTGATCGTACTGATGAGCACAGCCAGTCCTTACAGGGCGCCGTAAACCCCACCAACCCAACAGCGACCCAGCCGCCGCTCAGTCCGCAGGAAAAAAGAGAGCTCGACCAGCTTCTGAGCGGTCTTGAAGCAACAACTCAGCAGAGACAAGCCTACCTGTCCACATCCAACAGTCCAGGAGGTGGTGTCCGACACTTGGTCCCAGCGCAGGTGCATGTGAACGGGGGCCACACCAGGCTAGTTGGCGCCCCTTCAACAGAGGAGCGTGAGACGGATATTCTAGACGACGAGCCGCCCAATAGTCAAGAGGGAAACAGCGTGGACAGCTTGGGCACGCTCTCGTCTTTAGAGGGCCACGCCACACCGGCTGACCTCTACTACCAATCACAGACACCCAGCAGTAGGCCAAACGACGGACCCTACCTTGAGAGAGTTGTTATTGGGGAAAAGTTGAGCGAAATGCCCGTGCATGGAGTACGAACGCCCACGGCGCTGCAAGAGATGTCTGTAGACTCTGCATCGCCACAGGGGGGATACAACAACTACCAGAATGGAGGAGGGATGTACCGATCACAGTCATTTGGGAATCAGCCAGCCAGTAGCCCTGAGACCAACCCCAAACTGATGCCCAGGGCCCCGGAGAGGAGCACCAGCAGCCGTGAGGCTGTTCAAAGAGGTCTCAACACCTGGCACCAGTATAGCCTCCCAGATGATCCGTTTGGCCCCCCTCTTCAGTCAACCCACAGCCTGCCCCACTTCCCCACCTCCACCTCGCAGCGGGACATCGAGCAGTCCATCGAGGCGCTCAACATGCTCATGCTCGACCTGGACCCAATCAACTCCCACATGTCCAAGTCCCATAGTGCTCCTCCTGGGGAGAACAGCCTCAATTCATCCCAGGCGCCATTTTCACAGACCCTCGCAAGACCCTCATACCAGGCAGACTCTGCTATCCATGGTTACAACAACTCAGGGTCTGTCAACAGCAACTTCCATCAGCCCCAGCGGTCACCTGGGAGAGTCTCAGCGTTGCCCAACCAGAGCCCAGTGACGGAATCGCCAGTCTACTCTCCCCAGAGGTCCAACACTGGCTACCAACACCAAAATATCACCCCAACACACACCCCAGAGCCCTACCTCCACACACGCCAAGCAGCCCACCAATACCCTTCAGATCCATCCCCTAATTTCAAACAGCAGGTTCCAGTTAAGCCTGTGAACTCCCACCCAGGAAGCGGGGTTTCCCACTCCCCAGACCTGCAGGGCTCGTCTCCTTATCCAGGCTACAGTGCCTCTTCCTCTCCTCTCCCAACAATCACCCCCCAGCCCAAGGAAACGTCTTCTTCATCCTTGCCCAGAGAACAAGAGGCCGAGGAGGAGACGCTCAACCTGGGGGGCCTGGTGGCTCAACGCATCGCCGGTAAGGCTTAGAGCTATTGTCTCAAATGAGGAGGATGAACTAATGAGGTTTGCAATGCAACAATAATGATTGTTTTACAATAACAAAATCAGAAATAAAATTCATTTTGGTGAGTTACGCTGCATATCTTAGCTGGGTTTAGGTCAGGGAGATTTTTCTGCCAATATGATTGCAAAGTGATGGAGAGTAGTGAAAAAAAAGGCCTTTATCAAGCTGTAGTCTGCTGCCAGGCAACTTGTTTCATCTTCAACTAGAGGCATCTTTTGTGTCCAGCACCATGCAGTGCATTAGCAGTGCAGCTTTAAGCAGCAGAGCTGGTAAGAGTGGAGATGGGATGAGAGTAAGAATAGCTAGGAGTTCAGAGAGGATCCAGCTTCCATGCATTGTCTACGTCCATATTTACATTTACTTGAAACCATGTGGATGCTCTCAAGCGCCTCCCAGTGGAAGAAAGTTGTAAATTCATGCTATTTCTAACCATTTATAAACATGATAATCATCAACCATATAGATATATAATAATATAAACCATTTTATAGCAGCAATAAAGCTTAATTGGATTATAAACAGGTTGTCATCTCATTTGACATATCGTTTGATTTTCTTCTCACTTTCATTAGATCCATTTCTGTTCTGATGTTTTTCCCCCTTTTCTGTTTAATCCATCTCTCTGCTGTATGGACAACCCTTCCCACCATTTGCTTCCACCTCTGCACCTCTCTCACCTTCCTCCTCCGCCTTTTTCCTCCACCTCCTGCCCTCCATCCACGACCCTGACCTCCCTCCCTCTCTGGGAACAGAGTACAACGCTCGTATTCGGGGCATCAGTGCTAGCATGACACCGCAAGAATCTGACCGCCATCGCTCCTTTTCCTTTTCTGGTTTGTCCACTTTCCCTCGCCTTTTCTTTGCATTTGTGGAATCTTTCATGACTTTTCATTTATTATTATTTCTGCTCTTTTTCTACTTATCCTCTGCTTTTTGTATTCCCTTCACTTCTTGACTTCCCATATTACTTTTCTCTGTCTGGCTCTCATGATAAAAGCAGGTTACTTATGATAGTTAAACTTCTCGAAAACAACCCCAGGGTGGGGCACAAGCAACATAAAAAATGCTGTTTTTCAAATGTACCTAGGAAAGTTCCACATGGTGAATATGTTGTGGTGTTTTAGGGGTACGCTCCAGAGGAATGACCCCAGAAGTGACTCAGGAGAAGGGTCGGGGTCGGCGTCGGACCACCAGTGAGGGACAGTACCAGAGCAGCCATGACAACACGTCGGTGGTGGATTCACCGGACTTCACCCACAATCTGGCCCTCAACCCGGGAGGAAGACCCAGAGAGGTCAGCATTTAATAGTGATGATGAGAAAGGAAATTAGACAAAGTTCCATTTCCATATCGTAACAAAGAATAAAAGGCTCTCACTGCTGTTTAAAAGACACATCTACCGTAGTTTAAGGTTAAGCATTTTTTGTTCTTGTAATAGTTGTAAATCACTTCGGTTTTGTTCAGTAAGCATAGTAGGATTTTATTTATTTACAGCCTATGTTATGGTTTGGAATTATGCAGAATGATTTATTTTAGAATAATTTATATTATGCATTTTAATATTTTTGCATACACATTTTGCTTGTCAAATCACTTTTCTGATATCTGTGTGTCCGTCCCCTCTGCATCTCTTCCAGGGTCACATGCACAGCTACCGGGAGGCGTTTGGAGACGACGATGCGGAAGGGTTTCCCAACAGTCCCACCTTCAGAGGCGGTGGTGAGAATTCCCCCCAGACCCCCAGCTTCCCCGTGTCGCCACAGACTCCTTACTTCAACTTGTGTAGGTTCACCCTGCCTGCAGACTGAGGGCTCTCTCAAATCCTCTAAACAATTACCTTTGCCTTGTTCCTTTAAGTTGAAATGGTGAGAAAATGTTTGAAAAAAACAGGAAAGGACACGTTTTTTAAATTTTTTAATCGAACTCACTACTTAATGATGTTTTATTTAATTTTAGGAGAGTTGCACAATTCAAAATGAAACACAAAAAAGGCACTAAAACTCACACACACACACACAAAATGGACACCTTGTAAACTTCCTAACATAAACAGACACAAAAATGAAGTTTTGGCAAAAAAAATCAACTAATAAACCAATAAATATGACTAACATACATTTCCCAACCTAAACGCTCAGTAGCAAAGGAAATGAAATATCTCTTCACAGTCATGAGCCTCCCACACCCCTTCTTTCACATCTGCAGCCTCGTCAATTTCTGGAATAAAACTATTCCCTTGTTCTCCTGCAGTATTTACCCCATAACTCCCTGTATTGTTAGTGTGCACTGTCCCAGCCGAGGCATTGAGGTGAAGTATTGAGGTGAAGTTCAAAGGGACCTGTAGAGCCGCACAGTGCTGCTTCACTTCAGGACACTCGGGTTTGCCCTCTTGACCCCAGGCCTCGTAACTTAACCTCCTACCGTCGACCCACAGCCAACCTCCGGGGAAGAAACGCAATCCGGTCCACACTCGTTCCGTCGTCTACCTCTCCTGTAGCTCCCTCTGGATCAGCAACATCTCTGTGTCCGAAGTAACGCTGGCCAGGTCTCTGTGATGCTCCCTGCAGTATTCCAAAGCCTCCTGCCAAGTCTTTCTCTCCCGCACCACCACCACTGTGTAGCAGAAGAAGTTCAATTCATAGTGTGGTGCTGCATCGTGCCAAGAGTAGTTCTTCATGGAGCCGTGGTCTTCATTTGAATATTTATTTGGCTGACCGTTTTCCCAGAAAAATGTTGACACCTCTGCGCCTCCGGACCACTTCCATTTGTCAGCGTCTGTGAGATTCCTTATCAGTCCAATCCACTTGTATTCAGTGGAGTAAATCGCAAGCTTCATAAGGTGATTGATCTCAGATTTGTATCTGACAGGAGCCAGGTCTGTGTGATACTGCTGGCAATAGGCGAGAGCTTCAAACCACGACTTTCTCTGTTCGATGTAGACATACTTGCCGAGAGTTGCATACAAGCTCAGAAGGAGCAAAACCAAGGTGGAGATTTGATCCATCACTGTCTCGTGTTAGAGAAGGAGAGACAGTCCTGCAGCACACTGAGGGGCAGAGAGCTTTAAATATGTATATGCTGAAGATGTGAAGATTGTTTTGCATAAGGCGGGCCCCCTCCTTCTGTCTTCACATGTTTTAATGAGAACACACAGCTGCTTACTTCTAGTTATGAGGCATCATGCAGGAAGCGATATAACATCAAACCTCCTCTTATTTATATATAAGAATACAACAACAACAAAAATTCACAATCCACAAGTATTTTTCCCACACAAGGAAAGATTAGTTTCAAATTTGAGGAGCATAGAGAAACGTATCACATAATGAAATTCCGATTATTGTATGTTTTAAAGTATTTATATTGACTTGAATGTGTGTGCCATTGACATGACAATACCTCACGATTATAGTCAAAATAATCCACAATCACCGTATAAATGCTGATTGACATGGAAATAATAATAACAACAACAGTCAAATATAACTTTGTTTTTGTGCATTTTGTACACAATATTAGTTGTATTATTAGGAACATGATATTATTATTTGTTATACTCTGGTTATGATCACCCCTTGTCCTAAACATACAGAGATAGAGCCCACCTTTACATTACATCGCACCTTTCGCAACGCTGTAAAACAAATGTTGAATTTGCTTCAGCAAACATGAAGCCCCGCATGACTTGACAGAGAACAACAACACATAGCAGGTGTGTGCAAATCATGTTTATGGAGGACACAGTATGTCGTTTGTCTTTTTGTTTTTCCTCAGGAAGCAAATTTAGACGACATATGTAAAGAAAACTGGACCTGTTGTTCTTTTAGTTCTCCTTTGCAACGTCTTCTGCGCATTTCAAATGTTTACACTTCAGGTATCTAGAAATATTGACGATGCACTGATGTCATTTTTCATGGTTTTACATGTACATGTCCTTTTTTGAAGTTAAAAGAGCCACACACACTGAAACAAACGTTGACTTATTTACAAACCATTAGACACCGACCCCCCTGTTCAGCATGTTTGTGTGACAGATTGTCAGGATACTCTTGTTAACCAGCCCTGCCCCCCCCCCCCTGCAGTCAGTCCTGAACACACACAGCTGCTGCAGTAAGAATCTGCTCTGTGGTTCATATCTAACGCTCTCCATGCCACCTTAAAGGGATAGTACGGCTGTTTAAGTGGGTCAGTATGAGGTACTTAAAACAAGTTAGTGTCTTACCGACTGTAGATTAACGTTTACTCGCCACAAGTTTGGAGAACTAGACAAAAATGATTGCCAAGATGCTAAGCAAACTCTATCAAAATACAGCTTTACTGTAGATAACACACTGACTATAGATAGTACCTCGTACATCCCCACTAAATAACATCTGAACTATCCCTTTAAGTGAGCAAATATACAGAATCCATGTCATGCTTAATGAAAAAAAGAGTTAAATTCCCGAACGAGCGATGTCTATTCGCTGGAATACAAAGGATCACTTTACCTTGTTACATTGGTAGCAGTGACAGAGGAAAGTGACTGTTCAGATTCCTCTCTGGCTCCCGAGACAGACATTCTCTGACATCTTGTTTTGGAAGTAACTCTTCAGTTTTCTTTATGGCAACATTAATCCAGAGTTGTTGACTCGATCTAACCTGGACCCAATCATGGTTTTAGGAGCAGCATGCTTTTAAACTGCCAACCTTTTCATGACTACATACCTGTGTTGTGGATGGCTGATTATGTTCAGCTACAGCGCCATTATTTGTTTGGGGGACAAATTGCCAATTCATTTATCTAGTTTCACACCTTTTCGGAAAAAGACCACTGAAAAAGATTTCGGATTTATTGGTGACACTGATATCTGACATTTTTCATGTCAAATAATTATGATATTTAAGAGAGTGCGAAATAGTATATACTTTTACTTTGACAATGTTCTCCTTTGTAAAGCACCTACGGTATTTTACATTACTATAACATATTTTGTTTGAATTTGTACATGATCTGGCATTTGAAAACATGCACAATTTCAGCTTTATATCTCGACTTTTAAAAAAAATATATATATGTATCATTGTTTTGATGCTAAAGTGAATAACTGTTTTCTCATTCCTTATTAAAGTGGTTGTGTTTCATCCTTGCATGGCTTCAGTGTACAGTTCTCATCCCACTGCCATCCTTAGTGTTTATGCTTTGTTGTAATATTTATTTTTCCTCTCGTTGCCTGCAGCTCGCTCTCCTCCAGGTCTGATGAAGACTCCTCTGTCAGCGCTGGGCCTGAAGCCTCATCACCACGCTGGATCAGGTCAGTTATCAAATATTATTTATTCATGTTCTGTCTCTCATCTTGCAACTATATTTCCACTTGTTTACAGTGTTAGCTCTTTGTTTAAACTCCTTATTAATCACTTGTGGAATATCCAAAGATACAAAATAAAAATGTGGGAAGCTAATATGTTGTCCTAAACCAAAATTAAACAATATTACCTTTCGACATTTCACAATAAATCACGGTTGTGGATTTACGTAATGAGCATTATCTAAAATCGTTTGTAGATCGAATGCAAACGAACTGTGGTCTCGGTGAAATTGCGTTTTTTTCAGTAGTTTGTAAGTGAAAGAGAACACAACTTCCCAAATCTACATTTTTAAACCAAACCAAACTAGATATTTACAATCTAAGCATTAACCTTCAAATAAAAACCTGAAAACTAACCAAAACACACTCTCAAAACCAAAGAAAATCAAACTTAAAATGATGTAGCAGACTTAAAAATCTAATAAAAATACACATTTCTGAAATATTATACATTGTGATGGTGTGCTCAGTGCAGCAGGGTCTCTGCATTATGTCATCCTGTAGCTCTGCAGTGATTAGCTGCAGTGATGTTTAGCTTCTGCTGCTTTAAACTGGTTCCACTAAATGCTAACAGCTAACACTCTGCAGTTCTGGCTTTGCGCTCACATGTGTCCTCCTTGTCTCCTCCTCTCCCACACATCTCTTCCTCTCTTGCCTTTTCTCGCTGTCAGACTCTGATTCTAATGATGGAGATCAAGGTAAGGGCACTGCTGCTGACCCCCACACATTTCCTTTTGTTTTTTAACTTTTACACTGCACGCTAAATATTTGCTGCACCCCAGATTCTCTTTTCAGGACAACGTGTTGAATGACACACTAAGTTGAGACTAACTGTGTGTTTTTGATGCTCTGTATTCTTCAGATAATCGCAATTTCGGGGAGTCCAGAGGGTTCAACGTTCCTCTTTTCTCCAGCAGTCCCATCCACAGCGCTGATGGGTGAGTGCAGTTCCTCTGTGTATCACTATGTCATGTATGCGAGTTTCATTGTGCAACTGAACACCACCTTTTTGCCATTTTTGATGTGAAATGTGAAACCACCTGGGATCTTGTTGAACTGACATTTTGCACACATTTCTAGTTATTCTAGGAAATGATCAAGATATTTATTAATAATGCAGATACTTGTGCAGCCCTAATACTTTGTTTCACCTCTTTATGAAGCTACTTGCAGGACTCTTGCAGCTTGAATTTGTATCCTCTTGATTCTACCTCTTGTAGGTCACTTTGGACAAGAGTATCAGCAAATAAAATGTAACGTAATATAAAATGCTGTCTCAAAAATAAGAACTATGTCTTTTTTTGTCTGTAGAAGGAGGGTTGGTTCTTCCGATGGCGCCCCTCATCCCTCTCCCTCCTACTCCAACAGACCCGGGTCCCCTGAGGGGTCCCAGGTCAGCGTCATGGGGGTCCACACGGTCCCCGGGAGCCCCAACACGCTGCACCGCACCGTGGCCACCAACACGCCGCCCAGCCCCGCCCTGCAGAGACGCCTGGGCCAGGGCAGCCCCTCGCTGGGCCGACACCCAGCCGCCGTCCCCTCCAGCCCTCTGATTGGCCGGAGCCCTAAAACAGTAGGCGGTGGCGGGGTGCCCCCCAGCCCCCTGATGGGGCGGCGCATGGCGGGGAGCGGGCACAGCACGCCCGACGAGCTGGGTGCTGCCTCCCGCCAGGGGAGCACCCAGCCCCCCTCCACCCCCGCCTTCCCCGTCTCCCCCCAGCTGCCGGAGAAGAGGCACATGTCCAGCGGGGACGCGGAGAGGACGGACAACAAGAACCTGACCCCAGCCAGCGGGGGCAGCACGCCAAACCTGACCGGCACACACACTCTGCCCGGCACACACACTCTGCCCGACGGCCCCAAGTCCATATACGGTGAGACATGAGCGAGACGTTTACTGCCTCTCAGGATGTTTGTGTCCTCTCCACTTATCATTCCCCTGTCTCCAAACAGATGGCTATCCGGACATTAAGATGAACGTCAAGTTTGTTCAGGACACGTCCAAGTACTGGTACAAGCCGGACATCACCAGAGAGCAAGGTGAGGGTTCCAGAGTACAGACTGTACTCACTATCATTCATCAGTCTCCAAGTGAAAGAGAGGAAATAACAATAGTCATCATGTCCTTGTTTTGCCTCCTTGTTCGTCTCCTCTCTCCTCCTTCCAGCCATCAATGTGTTGAAGGACAGGGAGCCGGGGGCCTTCGTCATCAGGGACAGCCATTCCTTCAGAGGAGCCTACGGCCTGGCCATGAAGGTGGCCTGCCCCCCACCCACCATCCAGCAGAGCAAGAAAGGTAGAGATCAGCGTGGAAGTTTCATTTTGAATCAGAATATCTGACCGTTTAAAAATGCTTTATTCAAAAGTTTTTAATCCCGCTTCCAGATACATTTTTAAGTCCAAGGCACATATTTCTATTTTCATATAAGTTAAATATGAATAATCTAAAAGGTTTGGGTAGTATAGCAGAGATTGGGATGGGCGAGGAATACCTGTTTATGTGTTAAGGAGAATGTGTTCATGTCCAAATGTTTTACTGATACTGTTTCAATGTCCTTGCTTCAGGACATTAAAAAGGGTAATAATATTTTACATTTAAGGGATGTGTGTGCCCATGCTAAGGGGCAATGTTTGTTTGACTTATAAGGCAAAATAAAAAATATAGTGCTCACAAAATATAATATGTTTGTCCATTTTTTAAAGAAAGAAAGAATATTTGTCTCTTTGAACAAGTACTCGTCTTAATTTAATTGTTGCTGTCTTAATTTGTGTTCCAGTTGGTGACTTGACCAATGAGCTGGTGAGGCACTTCCTGATCGAGACGAGCCCTAAAGGAGTGCGTCTGAAGGGCTGTCCCAACGAGCCCTACTTTGGTGAGCTCACCATCCAGTCCTGTTTGTTATCATCTCAAATCAGAGTGAGTCAGCTCATCAGAGACCCTCTGTGTTTCAGGCTGTCTCTCTGCTCTGGTGTACCAACACTCCATGACTCCGCTGGCTCTGCCCTGTAAGCTCATGATCCCCACCAAAGGTCAGCATCCCCCTTTTATTTTCAGATTGTATTTATGAATATGTTCTGACAGCATTGATCCAAGTTGTTCTCTATCTTGGCATTCACAGACCCAAATGAAGAGGCGCTGGAACTCGCCACCCCCACTGATCCGATGGTTGAACTCCTGAAGCAGGGAGCAGGTAAGCTGTGGACAGATGTTCTTAAAAAGGTTTTACCACTGCACCTCTGCTTCCATCATCATGGCAGAAAGCAACATGAATATGTTTTGGAATGGAAGCATGGAGGCACTTTATGAATGAAGTCATAAGCAGAAGAACATAGTAGTTAATGGGACACTTTTTAGATATTGTTCCATCTAACTTAAAAAAGCTTTGGCTATTAAGGTGGCTTAAACAATACCACATTGTACTGGATGTCCACTAATGTCCAGATAGTTCCTCTTGAAGTATACATCTAGAGTCAAGTATAACATACGTTAAGAGAAACTAAACTTATGCATTAAGTTCAGAAGAAAAAAATACACATATGATGCACAGAATAAACAAAAACAAGGGGAAAAAGACAAAATATGTTATTGGTTAGCCAGTAATTATCAACAATTCTGATGACAAAGAAAAACACATTTACCTTTACAAACCCACTTTATGTACATAAAGCAGTAAAACTAAAGAACCCCAATATGTTTGTTAAATTTAACAACTGAGCCATATAGTAGATCACATTTTAAACTTAAAATATTTGATAAATATATCGTCCCACCTTGGTAAAATCCGACTTCGGCATGGGGCATGGCCTGTTTGCAGTATTTCCATGGTTTTTACATTTATCCTTATTTTGCTCACTTCTTGCCTTACAGTTCAGAAGGTTCCTGAGGAGGCTCATGGTAAATAAAGACTGCTTTGCTCTGCGCCATTGTGCACTCTGTGAGGATGCCTGCTCTCACAGAAATATTATTATTTGCTAGCCAAAACAACCTTTAGTGAAATGCATGTATTGAAGATAATCCAGTCACTGTGCTGTGCATGATACAACCCCTCCCCTTACATTTACCTGCATGCACTTCCCGTGTCTTTATTTATCTAACAATGCATCGGTGTTGTTTATTTCTAGCGTGCAATGTTCTCTACATCAACTCTGTGGACATGGAGTCCCTGACGGGGCCTCAGGCCATCGCCAAGGCCATCAGTCAGATGCTGGAGAGCAACCCTCTGCCCGCAGCCACCAGCGTGCACTTCAAAGTGTCCACGCAGGGCATCACCCTCACCGACAGTCAGAGGAAGTGAGTCAACGCGTTTAATTCATTTTATTCGCACACACCCACACGACCAGTGAATACAATTTGAAATGTGACAGGAGAGGTCAAGAAGCCTCATACATATCTTAAAAACAATAGCTAAAAATAAATAAGAAAAAATTAAATAATTTGGAAAAATATAAAAATTAAATATGTGTGTTTATTTTTCTTAACGATGTCTTGTAATAATTAAAAAAAATAGATTAAACAAGAGACAATAAATAAGCAGAGAAACAGTGGTGCTTTGGCGCCCTCGTGTGTTGATTCTGAAAACGAAACTGTGGCAGAGTGCATTATTTATTATTAAATATGCTTCTATCACATGGGAACTTTACAAATATAGAAATGTATGCTTTGTAGAAGGTATGTGTGTTTACTGCTGTGATTAATCTTCCTCTCTCTTGCTGCAGGCTTTTCTTCAGGCGACACTATCCCATCAACACGGTGACCTTCTGTGACATTGATCCCCAGGACAGAAAGTATGCTAACTTGTTTTGTACAAATATCATAGACAAAAATAATTCCACGTCGCACATTATGGCTGTTGTAAGTTGAAAAAAATCATTATGGAACGTTGGAGGGGGCCATTTAAAAACCTGTTTTCTTCTAATAGGTGGGTCAAAGAAGGAGGTGGCTCAGTGAAGTAAGTTGAAATGCTTTAGGATAAATTAGTATTTGTGCATTTTAGAAATAATTGTTTAGGCGATAATGTTGCTCGAGTATCAAAAATGCTGTTCTCTTCATTGCCAACAGGCTTTTTGGATTTGTGGCGAGGAAACAAGGAAGCACAACAGACAATGTGAGCCACCTGTTCGCGGAGCTGGACCCAGATCAGCCTGCCTCCGCCATCGTCAGCTTCGCCTCCAAGATGATGAAGCGGTGAAACCTTTGGCGTCCGAATGGCAGCGGCCATTTTGAAATCTTCCTCCGTCATTGGAGTCGCCGGGACTCGATGGTGTCCTTTTTCTTTTCTGTTTCCTGTCGGTTTGTTTCTTTTTCCCTTCTCTCTCTTTTTCTCTCTGCCTTGCTGGTTTGTCTTGACTTTTTTGGAAGAGGTGAAGGATTTTGGCGTGGATCCAGAGCGGGTTGTAGAGGAAGTGCGGTGTGGAGCTGAGAACGTGACAAACACGGAGGCCATTGAAGGGAGGAAATCTACTAACGGGGGGAAACCTGTACTAGAAGAAAAATGCTGGCTAAAGACTAAAGGAACAATGCTAAGTTCAGTCGAGGAACGCGTGAAGACTCGTATGTTTCAGGGGTTTTCTGTTGTCGTTTTTTGTTGATTGATTTACCAAAGGTAGTTGCAATACAAGTGCAAGAATGATGTAGCTATTAAGCCATTATTATTTCCTCTTTTCAAAAGATGAAGAAAAAAAAAAAAGAAAAGAGATTTCTTCTTGAACTCGTCTTCAGGAAAAAAATATTGGCCTTGATGGCTTTTAGCAAAACAGAGTCTGAAGACCTTATGCATGTTAGCTTGATCTTTAAGCTTGGTTCTTCTACCTTCCACCAAACTCATCCTGAAATCCTTTAGAGTGGTCGCTTCCAGGTCTGATGTGCGTCAGAAAGGGCTCTGCAGTGACCAATGGGAACTGCAAACCAGACTTTGAAAAAAAAAGAAGAAAAAAAAAGTGCACAGATGCATCACCTCGGCCTCCGGTCCAAGCCTGACCACCCCCCCTCTCGCTTTTATGGGATTACTGTCCTGGAAATCAGCAACTCCTGATCGCATGGCAGACGGAGAGAGACCACAAGATGGCGCCACTCATCCAGGCTTGGACCCCCCTTCCCCCCCCTTCCCCCTTCACCAACTGCTTGCAGTAGTGGATCTGTTGATAGACACTGAAACACACTGGAGATCACCAGGGACTGGCCCCAATGACCTGGACCTATGCACTGTTCTTTATGCATGTTGTTGTCCCAAATTGCACCCCCCCCCCCCCTCCCCCTCCCCCTCCCTCCCCCTCATAGCTACATTCAACATCACTGAAAACATTCTATGCTGTGTGCTAAAAATGACTTTAAAACCTCCAGACACTGAGGTTGTATGACTTGTCAAAGACTGCATGAAAACTTTTTGTACTCTGAAAAAAAAAAAGAGTCCTGAAAAAGAAGTAGAACAACCCATTGTTGAAGTAGTCACATGATGGTGAGATGCTTTATTTTTCCTTTCTTTTTCTTTTGTTTTTGGTCCATTTGAGCCAGGGTTACCTTTCACTGTATCGAGGACAGTCCCGTCTTTGTTTTTTCCTTCCACAGTGTCGTCAAAATTTACATTTAGATACCTTTTAGGGCAAAAAGATAAAAAAACATAAGGAGTTTCCACACTGTGCGCCAATGCCTGCTTGTTGAACACACGCTCAACCACTCACAATAAGCTAAGGAAAATTGATATTGATATAAATGTACATAGATATACTACTTTGAAAGGTGACATAGCGAAAAAGTATTTATTTTTGTTGCTTTGGTCCCTCATGATTACTCATATATACATATATTGTACAGTCTAGATAAAGAAGATTACCTAACGGGGTTGAGAAAAAAAGATATACTTATTTTGGCTAATGATTTCAAAGTCTGACGATTTTGAAATGTGTTTGAATATATGGTGTACATTACTTTGTACATGTATATGTTTGTTTTTTTTCGGCTTGTCATGTTTTTCATTTTACGTTTTTGCGTTCTCTTAGAACGAGGTAAGGCATGAGTGAGATAGAAGCGTCTGAATTGCATGGACGCGCTTTTTCGACAGCTCGTAGAGCTGTCGTAGATGGTAGATGATTTTTTGAAAAAGGGAAGCACGCTAAAATTTCAGGAGCAAACCCTCTAATGCAATATGAAAACAGCACCCATGACAGTTACAATTATGATTTTGCCAAAGATTCAAACACTATGGTGCATGTCGCTTTTACTCAATTCTTCTGTTCCGCACACGTTTCGCTCAACTCAGTACGTGCAGATGTGTGTTTTTAGTCATTTCATTTACACATCCACCTTGAAGACCTTTTTTTGTGCAGACCTCCATCGCCCGGTCCGCTGTGTCCCGGTTTGAAGTGTGTAAACAAAGCACTTACATTCACAATGCCAAAAGAAGAATCCAAATTGGAGGTAAATGAAGTTGGACGTGTCTCTGTCAGACTGCCAAAAGGTGTCTGCTCCGGCCCTCTCGAAAAGTCACTGATTTATTTATTCTTATTTATTCTTTGTTTTAAAAAAAATATCGGTTTCATTGTCATTATCGCAGTTCAGTGTTAAAGAATGGAGGAATGTGTGGCGGCGCTTTGTTTAAAGCAAAGAGGTTCAGTGCAAATGATTGACTACTAACAAAGCAATTTTTTGGATAAATAAAAAATAAATAATCTCCTAATTGAAAAAAGCATTTGACCTGTTGGCTTTGAGTCGAGCGTTGCCATGTTTCAGTGAAAAAGAAGTGATTTCAGTGACCCGGTGTACAGATAGGACTTGTCGAATGAATGTGCTACTATGAATGTACAAAAGGGTCTCAGATTTTGTTTGCGCTTATCATTTACATTATATTGTCATGGCTTACCTGTTCCTAAGGAGAGAAAAAAAACATTAAAGCAATACAAATCAGTTACATTCAAGACATTTGGGTGTTCTTTTAGATTTGAGTGTGTTAGTAGACGGTATGGACCTTAATCACTATAGCACTGTCAGCTGAATTCACCTCGTCAGGGTTAATCTGGAACACATGCTGCGTGTTCCTCATGTTCCGAGATTCACGAAACCAATCTCCTTCCCACGTGCTGCTCTCCTCACCTTTTTACTTTTTTGTTCATTTTAAACTGAACGGCAAATGTTTCTCGACTTAGATTCAACCTTTTCTCCAATGCTCTTCGTGCATGTTTGTATGAAGCTAAACAAATGATGATATTATTGACTACAGCCACAAAATGATCCGTTTTTGGCCCTTATTCCAAGAACAAATATTCCTGGAAAAGCTGTTTACATGGCTGATGAATATTGATAGTCCATGAAAGGTCCTGTTTGCGTGCAGCTGTCCAAATGGGATCATTCTTAAAGTATTCCATCAGTGGTGGACAAATAACACCATGTAACCACAGCATTGCGTATTCATTCCTTCAACCACATTCTTGAAAAGTTTGGCGTTGCGATCTTTGTGCACATCCAGAAACTTGTTCATATCCAAGTCTTTCATACTGTGTCAAAGTTGGTGTGTTTCCCCTTGAGACCAGATTTCTTTTCAACATGCATTTATTTCCAAGCCTTGCTAGCAGAGACAAATCTGGCAAGAGGTGGTGTGTACTGTAGCAAACTGTGACAAGATCCCCAATACCACAGCAACCCGTGTGCTGTTGTCCAAAAAGACATAAAAATAGTCATTGATACGTTATTTAAAATGTAGTTTAGCAGTGCTCTAAATGACATATTTGTTATATTTAGTTTTAGAGTGATATCTCTACCATTTCTTTTATTTTGATATTCTTTTATAATTTGGTTCTATTTTTCAGGTGGTTCTCAGTTGATCAGTTTTAAACGAAGCCAGAAAACGAAATACTCCATCACTACCACACAAACACAAACGGATTGATAACAGGTGTGTGTGTTTGTGACCGAGACGCTGAGCCACTCGGGGGAAATCCAGAGAGAACCAGGCATCTCTCCAAGCAGTAGCCCGCCTGTTTGTTTGACGGCTGCTGGAGCCTGAGACCGGCGAGAGTCAGAAGCATGAGAGACAGCCAATAAAGAAATATAATCAGAACTCTGTGAGGTTCTCACGGCTGCAGACAGTGTTCAAACTCCCAAATATGCATGACACACTTCCCCCCTGACATATTACATACGCACTGTCGCTCCTTTTGCCTCGCCGCGGCACATTATGAGCTGTAAGGGAGGTACGCATCATGGGTCCTGGCTCAGTTCATAGACACTACTACATATAGGCCTAGATTCATTCATCCACACAACACAGACTCATGTAATGGTCCCATGCGGTGGGTGGAAGCCATGTTCCTGGTCCTGTCTGCAGCAAATGTGATGTGATTTTATTTGACACCTTTATTTGAACAAGGTAATCCAACTGATAGCAAAGTTTTCTTTTACAAGAGATCCCCTGTGCGCAGCATAAGTACGTAGCACAATCAAAACCGAGCATATGTCTTGGCTGTAAAAACAACAGTGAGAGTTCAAGCGTCGGATCAGAGGCGTGACGCCCCGATACCGTGTGGCTCGGGGGTTCAATCGACGGACAATTTGTAGAATTAAAAATCAGGACCAGATGCCTCTCTGCTTTGAAATCGTCTTTGAAGGGGGAGCGCTTGGATGAAAGCCACCGTGATGGTCCAGTCTACAGTCCGCTAAAGGTGTTCTACGTCAAAGAAGCAAGAGAAAGAAGTATTAAAGGTTTACGACCTGCGATCAACCAAGGTTCAGAAAGTCCTGACCAAGCATTTCTCGTCAAATAAAACACCAGTACTTCTCCAGTCCTCAGTTCCATCAGATCTGGAAGATAAAAGCTTCAGTTTATAGCAAAGGCCAGGTTCGTTTGAAGTTAAGAGTAAATGTAGCCTCAGCCAGTTCGCAAGGGTTCTATCCTTCTCCATAGTTAGTATCTAGATGGGGGTAGATTCGCGTGAACTCTTGTGAGAAACCGACCAATGCTAACAATGACCACTCAAGGTCAATGCCTTATCTGAACCATATCCCTATATCAAACCTTTCAACCTAGCCTTTGACTGATACTAACCTTGACCAATGAAGGTCAATGACATACCACAACCATGTAGCAAATCACTACCCTAAATGTACTGGCAATTCCTCCAACAGTTGTGGAGATATTTCACTTCAAGAGAAAATACATTTCATTACCGGCTGTGCTGACACCAAGGATCAACTGCTTGATGATTTTGAGTGAGATCGAAAGTCATTTCAGATTGTCTTTCTCTCAGAAGTGAATTCAGTGTTGAAGTGCCGTGCAGCACATGTACAGAACATGAAGTGAAGTATGCAGTGGAAATGTGTACCGTCTGTGAGAGGCCTCTCACGGTATGAGCTTCCTACAAACAGGCCCGATTGGGAAACACTTGACCCCTACACACGCAGATGCCACTGGACTGTAAATATTCAAATAAGGGAAAGTTCCCACTCTGTCCTTATCAAATGGAAAAATCAACCTGCTTGTTTTGGTTTGCACTGCGCCTCCTCCATGTATCTTTTCACCTCCCAAAGAGGGCTTATTACAGGCTTCTTGCTTCCTACCAATCGTCCATGACATGATGACATTTTCAGGCATATAATGAAGAAAAATCTTGGAGGAAATTATTAAAAGCTCATCATTGTTTTTCTTTCGCTCAAGTGCTGCTCCTGCCAGTGGTAATCTTCTCAAGAGAAGTTTTGATTTAGCCCATTTGCTACTGACTACACTCGTAACCCCTGACATATCCGCAGTTTGAGTGATTGTCAGCTCCTGAGGATTTCCTTAAGATAACAGTGCAGGCTTATTAGGGGTGGAAATGCTACGCTGGGCTTCTCTTCACATCCACATGTTGGTCGGAAAGAGGCCGGAGAGAGCTCTGAGACGAGCCAGCTGTTCCCGCGCCAAAACCGCAGAACAGGCCCTGTTATAATCTCGCAGTGTCCCCGCAACAGCTCACTGACTCCCTTTTAGCTTCACGCTCGTGTGAAATCTCTCCGGAACAACGATCCTCCATCAGACAATCAGCGCTCATATCTGCCGCACCGACGTACATGTTCGAGTCGTGGGAGTATTCAAATCCAACTCAGCTTTCAAGTTTTATGAGACTGAGTGGAGACTAGTAGGCATCTCAGTCAAGCATTGACTTAGATTTGGAAGGAACAGATTTCATCCAGCGAGGGTCAGGATAAGGATGTTTCCTCTTGTCTCTGCCACAAGAATATATGCAGACGTTGTACTTACTTTGTGGTTTCAGAGACGGTAGAGTTTTAAAAAAAAGTGACTGTATTTTGTAAAGTGGCCAAGTGATTCGAATTTTGAGGGAAGTGTTCACATTTTGACAGAAGATAGTCAGCATAAAGACAGAGCCACGTGAAGCGCCCTCAAAACTATACTTCTTTTCCACTTTTATACAGAATTAACAAGATACATATGTTAACTAGTGAACTTTAGAGATGCCGGTAGCTGGATTTGATTTTTTTGGACATAATTGAGTTACTCCTCCCTGTTTCCTGTCTTATGCTAAGCTACGCTAACTGTCTCCTGGCTAGAGCTTCATATTTAGCATACAGACATGAGTGTGGTACATTGAGAGAAAACACCAACTGTCATAAATGTGAAAACTCCCAAACTTGAGTCATGTCGGGGCGTAGTGTTCTCTTTGACGACGTGGCCCTTGAGGAGCCTCAGGGCTCTGTCCTCGGGCCAGCTTTAAAGCGCCACAATGTGTGGAGTTACCTGCATAATTTCTTTCAGATGCTTTTATTAAAACATTTCAAAGGTGATATTATTCATGTGACATGTATCTACAAGGCGCCTTTTTGTCTCCACATCTGAGATCTTATTCCTGGAATGTTTTCCAAAGCAGAAAGAAGGAAAAGAATGCTTTGACTTGAAGATTCATCTGGCTTCGGAGTGCCTTTTGAGGTGAACATGCTCCCAGAGCTAGAGCAATTTCTCCTCAATAGTTGCCTAGTATCGTAACTTTGAGTGTACCAGACACACAAGTGGTTTTAAATCTTGGATCGATGCAACACCATCAGTGTCTGTCCAAAGTTCATAATTGCTTTGCTTTGAATAGAGTTTCTTTCGTGAATAGGCAGTGATTATTACCAGCATGAATGAACATGACCACCAACATTTATTCCCCGTGTTTTAGGCAGCACCGATTCCATTACACAACCATTATTTAGTCTATGACTTCTGCCAATGGCAATACAAATCGAGACGATCTCCTCCACGATGGAACCCACACCCCTCGACACATTCATTCAGAGACGGAGCTGGCAGAAAACTGCAAAAAAAGTATCCATCGTAACCCGCCTTTTTATCTCCTCTTAAAACATCATATTTTATCCAAAACTTGGATTCCTATTCTGCTTTTTCCCCTCCATTTGAAATCACTTTGTTTGAAGAAACAGACAGAGAAGTATGCACATTCAAACACCCCGCATATTGTATATGCTGTAAATTCCTTCATCTGTAAACTGCACATTGTAAATCTTTCCAACATAGCAGGAATGCTTTCAGGAAAGTAGGAGTTTAATATTAACAGGATATCATATATACGATACTCTATCTTCAGTACGGTATGTGCTCTTTCTCTCATTCATAATACCTTCTTTTTCACTGTGATCTGCTCTGTTCTTTTCCTTTCCTTCTACAGTAATGCTTTAAATTCATAACGGTTCTGCATTCAAAGGTAAACTTATATTGAATTATCATATAAGATACTTCCATGACTCATCTTGCATGACAAACAGAGATTATTGGATCAAGACTGGCATAATCCATTCAGTGTACTTGTAATGAGGAATACTACTTAGCCTGTGATACCTTATGTGTAATAATGTTACATAATGTTTGATGTGACTCCGGAGAGGGCTGTCCTCAATCTGAAAAATAATCCTGACGGTGTCATGAT